TGTGTAGGTGCTGTCGTACTGGACGTGTGCGAGTGTGTTTGTGTGAGAGGGAAATAGAGCGGCGTGGTGCGCGCCGTGTCAGGACCTTTTCCAGCCCATTGTGCTGCTCAGAGTTGTGTCTTTGTTTCGTCTGTCTTTGTCTCTCTTTTTTTTTTTTCCAGCTGAGGAATACAGACGGACACTTCAGCGACGATAATACCGGAGTCTCTTAGTAAAGTAATAAACCAAGCCATACGTCGCGTTCCAAACAAATATGCAAAATAAAAAGGAACATTTCTGAATGAGACGTTTATGGAGTGTTTTTGGAATTACAGCAACTGAGGTTACGAATCTGTGTGAGACGCGTCCAACCGGCCCTTCCGTCCTGCAGATGGCCCACGTGCTAGGTGTTCGTGCTAAGCTAACCGGCTGCACCTCGAGGAGGCAACATTACTGGTCTCATAAAACTCTCAGCAGTAAAAAAGCAAATATGTGTAGTTTTCTAAATGTGACATTTTCTTTGAATATTTAAGTTGTTTATGATAATCTACACTTTTGTAAGACGTGTTTATGACATTATAAACTATTATGTTTTTTTAAATACCCTTTTCCATATTATAATTAGAACTTTTTTTTAAATGGCATACCATGACTTTGTATCTATTGTGTAAGATACTATGCCTTTTTTACATGTTCATGACTTTTTATGATTTTCTTAAATATTTACTTTTCTGAGATGTTTATGACATGCTTTAACTTTTATTTTTAATAAAAACAATATATATCTATTTTTTTGCCATCATTACTGTGGTTAATTACATTACGTTTTCTTTAAAGCATTTTTGAATATTATAATGAGTTTGCTTTGACCTGAAATTCTGTTACTTTTTGTTATAATTTTTAGCATACTTTACTCAACTATACAGTATATACTATACGTTTTATTTAAAAATGATACCATACCAATCTTTTTTTGTTCATAACGTGCAATAATATGGTAATTTTGGTCCTGCTAGAATTTGACTATTATTTAAATGACATTGTTAATTACTTTTTCATGATTTTTTTTCTATATGACTAAATCTTTTTCACATTGCTTTTGTTAACTATAATACTATATACTACTTACTATAACTTTTGTTATAGAATCTTTTACTGTGGTTTAGTGTTTTTTCCATGACACACTACTAATTTATACGACCCGTTTATTCACACACGCGGTGACATTTTTAAGGCTGTGAGCACATTGTGAGATCTCTCCAATCCGCCATTACATGTATATTACATGTATATGATGAAGACTGACAAATTGTAAATCCATGTTATTACCCACAAAGTTTTATTATAGTGTTTATAGAACAATGGAGCTCTATGGCACCGGGTAATGAAGCTTTGGCTACAGACAATACACCATAGTGAAAGCGATTCATTGTTTTTCATAGTATTTGTTGACTAGAAGAAAAACGTAGAATATCGTCAGACTTTAACAGACTTTCTTTTTCTTCTCGGCTCTGGAGGAGGAGCCCTGCGTGACTTTATCAGCAAAATAACAGAAGACATTGGAAGATAAATGAGTGCGTTTCTTATCAAACACCAGCAATTGTGCACTTCTGGGTGAACCCTGTCTGACACATACAGCCCTTTCCTTGTCTACACCCAAAGGAATATGTCAAAGTTGTATAACTTATTACAAAATTGATTTTCTTTGACCGATTCATCGATGATTCAATGTTGTCAAAAACAAAAACAAATGACGTTGCCTCGATTTTGTGCCATGTGCTCTTTTCGCCCTCTTCTGGCCACATGAGGTACTGCAGGGGACATTTCCCTCGATGCACAGCAACCTCACAACATGCTCAATTTAAAGGAACAAAAATGACTCACACTTTTCATCAAGTTTTCTATGTTTATTATCAATGAAATGTTTATTGAAAAGCCTCATGCTCCCAGTGAGGATCAAATAATAAAAGCTTACACAGCCGATCTGCGGTGAACAGACCTGCTATCGAAGTCTGGGATACAACATTTCCTTTGTATTGCGCTGATTCAGAACAAAAAAAGCTGATGGTTTATGTAAAAATGAATATCATAGCAAATACCATAGTGAGGGGAGGAGAAATGATCATGTCTTACAAATTGGTGACAAAACAGTTATGGGTACGAAACAGGAGAAGGGTAATGAAATTAAAAATTAAAAGTACTGTATCTGCAATCTCGGTCTCACACACACACACACACACACATAAACCCATGTACACACTAACTATACACACACATACTCACAGGCAGGCACACACAAATGCACACGCTCACTCTCACGCATAAACATGCACACACATGCACACACGCACACACATGCTGCAGAGGTATCCACACAAACACAAACCACAGATAAAATGTAGTGAGTGAAAATATTGAAACCTTGGTAAAATGTATCATACATCCACGTCTTGTGTCTGAAGTGCAGAATACTATATGACCTTAACACATCAACAATCTTAAATGGACATAATGCAGATGATTGATAAAAGCATGTCCCATCTTCATGGTCCAACCCAACTTGGAACCGACCACCAACCCAGA